AGTGTTTAGTGTGTTGGGCTGTGGGTTGAGAAGTCCAAGGTTCGAGCTGCGATGTGCCCCTGAATATCGTCCATACTTTCAAGTGTAGGAGACATGATAGCTATGGCGCCCCCCAGTGGCCCAGCGGTATGTCTGTGGACTTACAACGTTAGAATCCGGATTTCGATACCCGTGGTGGGCAGAGCACAGATAGCCCATTGTGTAGCTTTGTGCTTAACTACAAACAAAATACAAACAAACAAAAATAGCTATGGCGATCAATTCCGCTATTCAGTCAATAGTAACCATGTAGGTTGCATGTCTCGCTAACTTGTTGTCCTGTTTTTGACATGGCCTGGTGGTTAGGGAGCACGACTCGCAATCTGAGGGTTGCGGGTTCGAATCCCTGTCCCTCCTAACGTGCTCGCCCTTTCAGCCGTGGGAACGTTATAATGTGACGGTCAATCCCACTATTCGTTGGTACAAGAGTAGCCCAAGAGGTGGCGGTGGGTGGTGATGACTAGCTGCCTTCCCTCTAGTCTTACACTGCTAAATTAGGGACGGCTAGCGCAGATAGCCCTCGTGTAGCTTTACTCGAAATTAAAAACAAAATAAACAAAATTTTTTTTTGATTAGCAATTATAGACTGGGGATGGCTATGCTTGACCCTTAGGGACTTCTGGCTTGACCAATTAACTCTTGTGTCGGCTGAACGTACCAAAGAGACAAAAAGAGATATATTCATCTGAAACAAGGGTTGTAAAAAATAAATAGCTGTGTACACAGAACGATTAAAAATCCAGATCCATGTTTAAAAAAAACAACAGACAAGATTATTTCACTATCCCTAAGCAACCAGCATTAAAATAAAGTGAGGTTTAGAATCACACAAAACGTGTTCTTTGAGACTAAGGACGTAACATATTTTGACAGCTGTAAATTAAATGATAAGACTGTGATACACATGAACGTTTTATACCGTACATAACTTATTGTTTTTTGAAGCTATGATCTCGAAATAATTGTTTGTTGGTTTGTTTCACAGAAAGCCACATTGGGCTATCTACTGTGTCAACCGCGGGGAATCGAACCCTGGATTTTAGCGTTGTAAGCCAGTAAACTTACCGCTATCTCACCGGAGACCTCGAAATAACACCACAAAAACACAAACCAAATTATATATATTTATATGTGTGTGTGTATAGGTATT